CCCCAAAACCCCAAAACCCCAAAACCCCTTGATGATAATTAATTATTGAAAATGGAAATGAACAAGAGCACCAACCTTTTTAAAATCAAGTCTAACAAAGCAAAGCGGTTCGCTCAGTTAAATGCTGACCTAAGTTTCATGGTCAAGAGTAGCTCAAAGGTCAAGACCAGGAATCTTAAGGCTTCTTTTCCAGAGAAGTATTAATCTCATTAGTTTTTACATTTAGGAGACAGAAGACTCAAGGGAAGAATAAAATACAATCGATTACAGAAATTATCACTCCTTCTGATAGTGTCAATTACATCAGTTATGATGGAAATCATAATATAAATAAAGTGAATTTTCCTCCATACAAGAATCGAAACATCAGCAATTCAAGTTCTAAGGGTAAAAATTGGTTTGTACATTCACCAATGTTTCCTAAATTCTAGGTTTGAACATTCAGAATATTTAGATAGCTTCATTCGTAATTTTTATACTGTTTGATTGACAAATATTCACCGTTTAAATTCAGAAACTGTCAGATCAAGCTTGATCACGAAGCCCTACCGTAAGCTATGAACTAACCCTGTCAGAAACCGGATGTATATCAGAGAGCAAGAAGAGGAACTTAATTGGCTACATACATAAAATAAGGAGTAATAAATAAACTTAATAAGCATTCATCAAGTAAGTGGTCTCAAAGCAACTGTTTTAGATCTCAAGAATATCTTGTCAGCGAAGAAATAGCTTGTAAGTTTTGCCAGAGGTATACATCGTGACTTTCAATAGTTCACAGCAAATGAAAATGTATCAGAACAGAGAATCAAAGAGTAAGACAAAGGATTTGTCCCAGTCAATATCAGTAAGCAGGATGAATTCGAAGAAAGTCGTGCCAGAAAATTGCTATAAACGGAGACAGCGGAGAGAAAAGATTGAGCTCAGAGATGCTTTTACTCAATCAGATGAGACTTTAATTCAGAAGATCTTTGATGAAAAGGCTATATTTAATAAGCTGGATATTAATTTGCCCACTAAGGAAGAACCGTCACAAATTAAGGTTAAATTTGAACTCTTCGAAAGCATTGAAAAATAAGAATATAAACAGAAGTCTAGAAGTAGCAATATGACTCGTTTATCATTTATAGAATGGAAGAAGAATAGGCAGAATGAGAAGAGCTAAACCAAGTCATAAAGCACAGAATTTGATTAATTTTATATCAGATGTAAACAAATCACAAGAGCAAAAAACCAAGAATAGCATTAATGTATGCCTTTATTTTTATTTTATAGGGGTTTGATTGCACTTTCAGAGTTAATAAGCTACCAATAAATAAGAAATTTAACTTGAATCTTAAACAGGCCATTTATAATCGATCAAATGACAAATCTATTGTAAATACCAACTAAACGTATAGAAATCACCTCCTTCGGTCTTCAAGAACACCCGAAATATCTCTAAATGGCTATAAAACCCAACAGACTCCCAAATATTCAATTTTCTCCCACCCCAGGGGTTTTGGGGTTTTGGGGTTTTGGGGTTTTGGGG